GTCGTGTACGGCCGTAAACGGTGGCTGTATACGGCCGTATACGACACGGCGATTTACGGTCGTAATACGGTGCATGGAAATACGGCGAATTTACGGCCGTTTACAGCTGTAAAATCGCCGTGTACGGCAGTATACGGCGCCGTAAACGGCCGTATACTGCCGTGTCTGGTTGCTGTAATGCTCGTTCTGGGTACTGATGATTTTGTTCAGAACTTGGTAATGGACATGTACCATTTTTTGCTACATTGTCTTTGGGAATGAGACAACTATATCCGCATGGCTTAAGAGGCGTATAACAACATTTCTTGCGGCCTTTACAGGAATCATTTTGAGGTGAACATTTATCAACACATGGTTCTTGTGGACGAACAAATCCATACCCAGGACGCACAAGTTCTGTATTAGCAAATGCGACAATCGATAACACTACGAAAATGTATGCAATAGTTGGCATATTATTGTACGACGAACAAAATGAGGAATAAAAATATTTTTAGGATCATTTTATGTTGACGAACGGATGAAGAATAGAAAAAAAACAAGAAAATAAAACCGAGCGGAGCTGGCGAAACCTATCACTATCGATCGTCTTAATATGATGACGGGAGTGTATTAAATGAAAGCATATTGCAATGCTATAATCATTAGATTTAAATAAAGCTATAAATAATGGACATTACGAATAGAATAAATGTCGCAAATTGTGGCATGTACCGAGCTTTTTTGCCCTCCTTTCGAGTACTTTACATCCACAGCTTCAGCTGTGAAATAAAAGGCTAAATCATACCACCTACTATATAAAAAGATACAGAAAATGTGATTCTATCAAATCAGACATACCCGAGCTCTGTGCAAAAAACCTTTTACACTATCATGATAAGTTTATAAACCGAGTCGATCGAACCTAGACTTGACTGAGACATTTTTTTTACAATGCAGATAAAAACTAGAATCATTGGAGCATAGAGATCAAGGCTGTCTCATTTTGTAGAGCGCCATTGTGTCTATATTTTGATAGGTTACAGCAAATGACTTAGCCTTTCATTTCAGAACTGAAACTGTTAATATAAAAGTGTTTAAGAGTAACGAAAAAAGGTTCGATATATTGCTAGTCGCAGTTAACAACATGGAAAATAAATAAATCATCATTCTTATCATATTAACCTATTGATATAATGCACGTCATGATATGTGTACATGATGCAAGCACACAAAACAAGTAATATTGAAAGTGCATATAATTTTAGCGCGCACTGATAAACTTTTTGTGCATAGCTGAAGGCCTTGCAGTGGATTGTTGTAGTAAACGAGAGAAAGATCCTAACGAGATAAGGAAAACTTCAAAATGATAAGTCTCTTTAAACCTTCTATTCAGAGTTACAAGCATTTCACTGGAATTTTAGCCTGTTGTTTAATACATACTGACTAATTGAATGGCCGGATTTCAACCTAAGATTTTGCCCAAAAACATATCTATTTGTTGGTAGAATTCAACGTTCTTCTATAGTCCGATGCAAGACTTAAAGAAAAGGAAAAAGGAGATCATTTTGTCGTTAAATAGATTTTAGTAGAGTAAATATATTGTAGCTAGTAGTAAAGAAAAAAAAAAGGTAATACAAAAATTCAAGAATATATGATATTTCGACCTTTCATGATTATTATGAAATACATATCTAGTAAAAATAAAGACCAATAAGCATAAGCATTACCAGGTTCAGAACATGAAGTGTGCTATTGATATTATTGGTGGTACTCATACATCGATGTTGTTATTGATTATTGTCAATTTGATATTGTGGACATGGTATTGCTAACGTTATTGGTCTTCAGTTTTCACGCATATATATGTTCGATAATGAGCGTGAAAGGTCGAAATATCATATATTCTTGAATTTTTATATTTTTATTTTTTCCACTCTTGTACCAGCAACAATATATTTATTCTATTAAAATCTATTTAATTTTATATGTAGCTACAATTCTCTAGAATTACTATTAATTGGTTTGAAACAACAGTGTGAGCCGTTGTCTTTTAATATTACGATGAGAGTCGAATCCTATTTTGATTAATTTATTATGCCTTTAATTGAAAAGTGTAAATAACTAGAATCAACGTTATACAGTCACCAAAGACAGTCATCCTTCTTTAACATGACAACGAAAATAATCATGACGAACAGCATTAATTGCAAAAGAAGTATAATATCTATCAGTAGAAGAAAACAAAAAAATGTTCAATAGCAGCGCACATTATCACCAAGACGTATGATAATAACCATTTCTTTTCTGATTATCTATTTATTGAATATTTTTTTGATAAAAACGTACTATTTGTCAAACAACTGACTTCACTAAGTAAACAATCATCATTCACTAAGACTATAAAGATTTCAAACAATAGCTAAAACAATATCGAAGTTGGTACTATAAAAACAGTCAACATTCAAATAGAGGACTAACTACAAAAAATGATGAACGGAGAGCATCTAATGATTCGGATGATAAGAAGACTTCTTCTTAAACTCGATCGTTATCTTATTTCAACAACGACTTTGTTCTATACATTTTTAACGACTTATATGATTTTTGAATTTCTATCGATTTTAATTCTCACAAGACTTTGAACAAGTTGATGGGCACGAACTATTACAATCACATGATAAATTCTCAAGACTTTTATGGATCTTGCCAGTTTTTATGGCAGTTTTCTTGCTTGTCAATTTTTACTAGGTTCTGCTGCTAAATCTGATCTCTTCCAAGGTAAAGACATATTATCAGAAACATATAGGCTTATACTGTTGTATTACCCTTTTTTAGGTGCCAGTTTTTATGTATCAAATTGGCGCAAAGGATGTGAACTGTCCTGGTATACAACTATGCTTTTCTCTACTATTGGATTAGCTGATGAATCTTGTGGAGTTCTTGCTTTCATCATCATAAAGATCAATGATTTCAGTGGACAAGAAAGCTAGCAATGCATCTTTTATATTGAAGGCGTCGTTGCTATTATTGCCGAACATGGGTCTTCTTTTTAATCAGTGACTTTAAAAAAAAATCGGCCAGAATATATAACAGAAGAGTGATCGAACAAGTAGTCCTTTACATACCGATGCTGGATATGATCCAGATGAACGTTTCAGTTGGAAACAAGTTCTTGCAACCTTTTTTTATATTGGAAAATTCATGTCTTGCACATACTATATTGTATGAATATCATTGAGTCATTCTGTTCTCTTTCACTTTTTTTCCTCCTATCATTATTTAAAGTCTTGATTTCAAAATTTGTCGTGCTTAACTTATTATTGCATATTCACACAGATTTTCATTTATAACTATTATATCAATAGTCTATTTTCCTCATAGATATGTTCTACGTGCAATTTTTGTATTATTTTGATTGAGAAAACATATTATAGGTTTTATTATTTTGATTTTCGTCCGAAATCTAAACGCTAAATATTTTGCAAGGGGGAAAAAGCGGATTTGGGATTTTACAGATTCTAAAATCCAAAAAAGATTTTTTGGGATTATTTGGGATTATTTGAGATTATTTGGGATTATTTGAGATTATTTGAGATTATTTGGGATTATTTGGGATTATTTGGGATTATTTGGGATTTTTCGGGATTTCTTTTAGATTCCTGAAATTTTTTTTTGAACTTTTAAACTTCTTATTCCTTGTCTATCATTTAAATACCATATTTTTCATTGTGAAA